ATCGATATTTTACTCATAAAGATGGCCTGTTCACCTTACAAGAATGAAGTCTGTTCGGTGAGTGCACCAAAAGTGTAGAGGAGTGCAGTACAGAGCAACATCTGACATTTAGGAAGTTCTTGATCGTGTAATTGCGCAGTAAGGTAAATTGCGTAATGTACCAAAATATATCCGAAGTCGATTATCGATTACAAATGTAAATACGCGTACATACATACATGCATCACAAGTACCCTATTTGCATATATGAGCTAGTACCGTCCGAAATCACTACAGTACAGATATATCAATAAGCACGTACGAAAGAAAAGGAGCACATACGTTGATAAATAAACATGTACATAGCACATGTACAAAAACGGCACTCAAGTACACAATACATTGACAAAAACTGTACTAGACTGTCTCGATTTGATTTCGGAATGCTTACACATTAAGAAGTTAGCTTACTGCCAATATAGAAGTATTACATATATTCCTTGTTGTATATTTTTGACAAATGTACGTTAAGGTTTGGGCGTCCAAGGGAGTTTTTTGTAAAGAAAAAAATGGAGAATCTAAAGAGTTATTTCTCACCAAAGGAAAAAAACGCTATGATTTGCACATTGTGCACAAAAGTGGTGAAAACCAGAGGAAACACATCAATTTGCGCATATTAAAGCAAATCATCATCACACAGCTCTTAAGCTCTTCGGGGAACTTATTTCCAGGTTTACATAAAAATAGAGTATTACAAAATTTTGTTTTCAACAGAACACCGATGACCAGAACGCCAGCGCTTGTTCAAGTGAATCTTTAGCAGAAATTCGAAAACGGCCGAGAGACTAATCATACATACTTCGACGAAGTCAAGCAATTTGCAGGTTAACTTAAATATTTTTTAAATACATATGCAACATCTTACTTTGTTTTCATTAATAGAAGGTGGCACTAAAGAGCAGCAAATAACCGCTACACTCCTGTTTATGATTTGTAAAGACAACATGCCAGTGCATTGCGTGGAGAAGTCCGGTATGCAAAGACTGTTAAACGTTTGCTGCCCGAGATATAAATCGCCTTCAAGATTCAAGGTAGGTTTAGCTCAGCTATTGTAACCACCTTTATATAACTACGACTGTTTTCAACTGTCGTTGCTTGAGCTCATCTGCTCTTTTGCCAGAGTGCCAGGCCACTTGCTCAATTTGGTGAATACCTATATTACTTAATCTGGTTATTTATATTTTTTTTGTAGATAACTCAGCTCATTGATGGCAAATAAACCGAGGCTATAGCAATTGTTAAAGATATATTTAAAGAAATTGATAATATAGCATTTACAAGTGACATTGTTACAATAACAAATTCAACAAGGTCCTTTCTGATATTAACAGCACACCTCTTGCAAAATTATACACTTGAAAGTGTTTGTTTAAAGGCTTTGCGGTTGCATTAGGTAATAACTTTACAATTCCGAGCTGCACAAATAGAAGCCGGTTTACCAGAAGGTTTGGTAAAACCGTGATACAGGACATAGACACACGTTGGAACTCGTGTCGTTGATAGAAGCCTTTAAAGAGTTGGCAGCAATAATTGGACATATTTTGTTAAAAAGAAGCAACAGTCACCGGAATGTTCCCGAGATGGCAAGTCATTATGAACTAAAAATAATCAGCGAATTAATTAAATTACTGAAGCCATTAAGGAATCCTTCTGATTAAAAATTTTTTTCTTTCAGACGGATAACAAATTATATTTTAATGAATATATGAGTAGTCCACTTGCAAACAGCGCACTATGGGAAA